TGAGTTTTTCGCTGTAGGCGTAAAATGATTGGAGCGAGAATGCTAATGATTGAACAGCCTCAACGCCCCCACCGAGATCGTCAAGCAGATCATCATCAACATCGAGGCCGGTGTCGAGGTCGAGGTCACCATTGCCGCATAAGCGATTGGTATCCAAGCCCCGAAACAAAAATGTTGTAAAGACAAGTTGTTGTTGTAGGAGGGACAAAACGGTATGGGCTTCGGACTTGGGAATGCTGCGTTCGCTAAGCCAGCGATGAGGGCTGGCCGAAAGGTTTTACGCCTCGACGCAGCTATGCGAAGGCGGCGGGACGAGTGAGGCGGTCTAGATACCACCCGAATCAACTGATGACCCCCCATTTTGAGTTCCTCTACTGTGATGTGTCGTATGGATATGCATGAAGCCCAGTTGAAGTACCTACTGTGATCTTGGCCATATTGCATGTGAAGTCAAGGGCGGTGGGCACGAAGGATTGCGAGTGTCAGGATGTTGAGGAAGATACTCAATGTTTGGGAACTTGTGCCCAACTAGAACGCAGTATGAGCACCATAATATCACATGCTCAGCCAGATACCCCAACCCACGGTCACCAACTGATCCTTTTTGAAATCAACGCCGTGTAATGCCAGCCCCCTTTACACAAGTACAGATAGACCACTTTTGGCCCTTGCATCGTCGCCTCTGTTCCCGCCCACCCCCTTTACAAATCCCAGAGACAGAACTCTCTCTTAGGAGGCAACTCGGGCATAAGACCCTCAAACTTGCCAGTCTGCGTAAACGACTGCCACTGCTGCTTCGACTTGTCATCATATAACTCGTCGGGTAGCTCAGTGTCCTTGTAATAATTTGGCGGACCATCCGGGAACCATATCCTCGTCCACGCGCCGTTGAAGGCTCGAATGCCAGGCAGATTGCCCTGGTAGGTGACGGGCTTGCCCTTCCAATTGGATAACCGCCCGTTCATGTCCTTGGAGCTGTAGCTCGACACTGGTGGATGCTGCCTCGAGCTCCCCGGCGGGTACGGCCCGCTCCCAGGCGCCGCCGCTTGTTGCGCGGCGGGCGGAGCTGGTGCAGCGGTCTGCCCTCCAAATGGGTTTGGCGCCGATCCGCCTGCTCCGAGGCCACCGGACGGCTGGCCAAACGGGGACGCATTGTTCTGTCCAAAGGGGTTCGTCTTCTGGCCAAGCTGAGCTGGTTGTCCGAATCCGCTGGCAGGCTGCGTAGGCTGAGCAGTCGCCGCCGGTTGACCGAAGGTGCTGGGCTGCGCATCGGTTTTCGCTCCAAAGGGGTTGGTCGCCGCCGGCTGCGCTTGAGAAGGCTGACCGAAGGGACTGGAAGATGCAGTCTGAGCCGGTTGTCCGAATGCACTTGCTGTCGCAGGCTGTACTGGCTGACCAAACGGACTTGAGTTCGTCTGGGCGGGAGCCCCGAAAGGGTTGGCATTCTGTGTCGTATTCTGCGCGGGCTGTCCAAAGGGGCTGGGACTGGCCGTGTTCTGCGAAGCCTGACCAAATGGACTGGATGTATTGTTGCTGCCGGCGCTGGCAAACGGGCTGGCACCGCTCGTCGCGCCTCCAAAGGGGTTCGGCTTCTGCCCAAGAGCACTTGCTTGGCCAAAAGCGCTGCCGCCTCCGCCAAGTTGAGATGGTTGGCCGAAGGCACTGCCCCCTGATGCCGCTGCTGGTTGTGCCGGCTGCCCAAACGCAGGCGCGCCGAAGGGATTGGGCTTCTGACCGAGGGCTGAGGCCTGGCCAAAAGCCGATGTGCCCCCTCCCAGCGCGCTGGGTTGTCCAAAAGCGGATGTAGGTTGCGATGTTTGCCCAAAGGCTGGGGCGGAGCTACTCGTGGCACCGAACGCCGACGTAGGTTGTGATGGTTGACCGAATGCTGAAGTCGGTTGCGATGGCTGCGATGTTTGACCAAAAGCTGGCGCGCCAAAGGGATTCGCACGTTGCCCCAGGGTCGCAGTCTGGCCAAAGGCGCTCCCTGTTGAAGTTCCACCGCCGCCGCCAAAGGCAGAAGTCGTGTTCGTGTTGTTAGAGGAGAATGGGTTTGACGTCGCTGTGTTCGAATTTGACGAAAAAGGGTTCTGCTGTGAAGAAGCGCCGCCCCGTCTTCCAACCGCAAACTCCCCTGTAGTCCCGCCTGGCGATGTGCCTTGCTTGCAAATGTCTATCCTGTTGGGGTGCGTTTGCTCGGCAGAAATGATGAATTGAATAGCTCCGTCAAGGTTGCCCACCGCCGTCTTCATTTGTTGTTGGGCTTGCTGGTATAGCTCTTGTGCTTGATTGAGCTTTGGATTCCGTCAGCTGATAGACCTGTAGACCTGAATAAGGTGACTTACCGCTTGCTGGGGATTTCCAGAAGCTTCCGCCATCATGTGAACGAGTCTCATTTCCTCAAAACTCTGCTCGCGCAAGTTGCCTCCGAAGAGCTGTTCCGGAGCGTCCCTGCCGGGGCCATAAGCGGACAAGATCCATTGTGGCGCTTCCGACGTCAAGTCTTTCTCAATGGTCTCCTTTGATAGCGCATATGGAAGCCCTGGTCGCATGTGAGTAGAATGCTTCGTTTAAAACTCCTAGGAGCCGCGATTGTTTGGGCGAACCATCATTGTTGTTGCCGCCTCGATTGAATCCTCCTCCTGTGTTTTGGCCAAAGGCTGCAAAACGGTTGTTATTTTGCGACCGTGGGTGCTCGAATCGGCAATTCTCTACGATATCACGTATTAGCCTCTTCGATCCGAGTTTGCGATCGAGACCCCTCGGGATAATGATGGGTGCACAGCGAGTGACGTACGTCCGTACCTGCAGTTCCCCTGCTCGTAGAACTTGCAGACTACCATTCTGGTTGTTGATCGGGCGGTTTCGCAATGCAAATGGCGTGATGACAGCGGCTATGTCATTTCGTACGTGTTAAGAGCTGAGATTAGCCAGGGATTCGACGGTGGACAAAGAATCAAGCTCTTGTAATCTCCAGAGCTCGTAGATTGGGCGTCGAGAAAGAAATCATTGGCAGCCTTTCTCAGCCTTGCCGGCGCGTGCCCCTAGCGCGCCGTGGTAAGCCAATGGGAAATACGTACTGTGCGTAAGCAGTGGACAAAGCGCAAGCACTGTCCTTGCCTCCTCTGGTCCAGACAGGTGCACTTACACCAGGACCATTCAACATCAATTCTTGACTTCCTCAAGAAGCATTCGAATTCATCTATTTGGTCGAATCAAGATGACTCGGAGTTCTTTAATCGGCTTTCATCATCAACAAGATCTTCCCGGCCTTTGAATTTCACCTTTATGTCCCACCGAAAATCGATTCTACCAATCCTAGGAATTGAGAGCCAAGCATTTTACCTCGCTTTCGCAAGGACAGCGTTTTTCTAATTCGTCGACGCCACAATCTTCTCCATACGAGTCACATATTCAAAAGCAAATCAAGAATCGAGATCATTGTTTCATTACTCCAAATCGGTCATAGCTACTCCGTGGAATCCATCTATCCAATAACACCAGCAACCATGGGCTTCAGCTGCTGCTCAACATAGTTGGGGTTTCTCCACTCAGACCAGTCCGCGTTCAACAGACCCCACGACTCCTCAAAGTTCTGCGTTCCCTGGCGGATGTAGTAGCTACCCACCAGAACCCAGATGAAGAAGCTGCCCTGGATCTGGGGCAAGTAGGATGCCAGGCACGTCGAGTACGTGTTGAGGTATGTGTTGTCGTTCATGTTGAAGCCAAACTCGGTTAGCGCCACGGGGAAGACATTGACCGTCACAGGGTCCGATGCATTCATGGCCTGGAAGCCCTTGGTGTACAGGTTGTTGCTCAAGCTCGCGCAGCTGCCGATGGAGCCCTCGTAGTTGTGGATCTCGAGAACGAGCTTGTCGGCGTAGCCCTGGAAGTCAGAGAGCTGGAACGTGCCGTTACCGGGTGTCAGCGCAGTACCGCGGAAGACGGGTGCGACGGTAGTGTCGTAGTTGAGGCCAGAGAGGAAGATGAGAAGGCCAGGGTTGGCGCCGTTGATGGCGTTGGTGCCCTCCTGGATGTACTTGTACCAATCCTGCCAGTTGTACGAAGCAGCAACCAGCTCGGCGTTATCCGTGGCCTCGCGAAGCTCGTTGCGGAGAGACATGGCGACGAGAGCAGTCCACGATTTTCCCTGGCGATGGTTATCAGCTTGGGTTCAACAATATTCTGCCTTCTTTCGATTCACTTACATGGTTGGCCATGTAGGTCAGGCCGCGCACCCATTTGGCGGCATCGAACTCGCGGTCTCCCCACCAAGTGTTGCCGTCGTTTCCAGAGCAGCACCACTTGCCGGTGGACATGTGGTTATCGAGGAGGATGTAGACTTCCTGCTTAGCGCATTCGGCAGCAATGGCATCGTACACCTTTGGGGTTATGTGTCAGCGGGTGTCAAACGTCGCGGCAGAGCTGATAACTTACCTCGAGACGGGTGGTCGCCTCCGTGAAGGAAGGGTTGTTGGCCAGAACCTGAGCGAGGACGGCGGTGCCGTTGGTCTCACCGAGGCCGTTGATGAAAGCCGTCTTGATGTCAATGTCCTTGCCATCGTTGGCGTAGATCTGATCGACGAGCTCAATGGCGTAGGTCAGACGGATGGCGTTCATGCCGATGCTCTTGATCTTAGACACGACACCCTCGACGGAGAGGAACTGCAGACCCTCTGGGACCATGACCTCGCCGTGGCCGGGCCAGTTGGTGCCGGCGAACTGGATGTGGTTGCCAGCGGCATCCACCGCCCAGCGACCGTTCGTCACAAGCGGGCCATTGGGCCAGCTGGTCTGTCTGGCCTGGGGAAGAGCGGCGCAAAGAGGAGCGACGGAGCAGGCGACGGCCAGAAGGGAGGTGAAGAACTTCATGATGTCGGGCAGTTTTGACTGAGAAACCGACGCGTCCGAGATGGAAGCTATCACTACAGAGAAGGTCGCAATGGCATCATCTTGCGGGAACCATTGGGATCTTATACGACCTCAAAAGTTCACAGAGCATGCAGCTCGGAAGCATTCCCGCTCCAATCGAGCACTCGCCGTTGCTACCTCATCCCACGGACCGAGAGCGGGACCTGCAGCCAGACCAGGAACGCGACACTGACATCACGAGCATTGGCGGCAGTAGCTTAGCCTTGGGAGGGTGCAACGTTCCTTGAATCAACGGTCGCCATTGTCATGACTAGTCTTCGACCGCCTCCCTCAGGCCGCAGCGGGGCATCTCTCGGGTACTCCCTCAGGTCATGATACCAAGTTGCCAGGGTAGCGACGAACCTCGGGGGCGGCTTTCGCCCGAGAAGACGAGCACAGCCGGGGCAGACATACTCTTGGGAATGGAAGCCAAGGGTCCAAGATTTACCATTGAGTGGACGGTAGAGAGTCAGGCGATGATTGTCGCCAGGAACAGCAAGCTTGTGCCGGACGGTGTGAGATCGGCTCCCGCCTTCTTCGAGACAAGCTGAAGCCTGGACAGATTCTTGCGTCCCGCCCCCGCATCGCTTGTCGAATATGCCGATGGGGAAAACGACGGATCCCGGCTCCCCAGCTCTGATGCCTTTAGTGCTGGTGTTCCCCACACTCCGAACCCCTCTCTTCATCGAACCGCTCAACGGCCCAAGCATCCCCAAATCGGCCGGTTCTGCGCCATCACAAGATACTAGTTTGGATGGTTGATGTTGCATGGGAGTGGAGCAGAGAACTTTCACCGTACCCCGGCTCCGTGATCCCCGGAAGCCGAACGAAACAAAGTCTGAAAAGATACGAAAGAAAACAGACAATAGCGGAGACGACGTGCCTGACAGGGAAATGCCCGCTGCCGATCAAGAGCCGGACCACAAAGACTAAATGTGGCAGTTGGGGGAACAGGCAAGCGGGGAGAGCTTTCGAGCGATCTGAATGGCGCGCAAGTTCGGACGGACGAGTTCTCGCGAGGAACTCTCACCAGCATTTGGCTCCACCGCGATACCTTGGAACGAGGAGGTGGATTCTCTGCCATTATTGGTTCTCATCATGCACGAGAATCAACTGACACGTGCTACTAGATTCTCTCGACGCTCGATGACGACAACTTCACAAACTAGCAGCTTCGAAGGTGAAGCAGTGGGGGTTGTCTGACCCCAGCTTCAACCAAGCCATCCTCGGTGGAAACAACAATGTCGACCTCTCCGGCCTCGCTCTCACGCCCTCGCCCTGAACTCCAACAACGGTCCATCCTTCATACTCGTAAATGTGTCGTACAACTGCATCTCCGAGACCCGCCTCCGGCCCTCATCCAAATCTGCGCGTCCCTCAGCCGGGTCAAGTACGCCCACCGCCTTGCGCACGTCGTACAAGAACAACGTCCTCGCCAATGCGGTCGACATCTCAGCATACGCGAGCCCCTTGCCAATACATCCTCTGGCTCCAATCGAGAACGGACAAAACGCGCTCTGCGCCCTCGCCGTGTCGGCCTCGGTCGTCTCTCTGCCCCCAAACAACGGGTTTGCCGCGCCGACAATCCATCGCTCGGGAACGTAGTCGTACGCTGAGGGGAAGTAGTCCTCGTTGTGGTGGATCGTGTAGTGCGGTGTGCCAACGACGGTTCCGGCGGGAATATGCGCGCCGTCAATGGTCATGCCACCTGCGAGAACCTCACGCGGGAGCAGGCCACCGACGGAGGGGGACAGGCGCATCGCTTCGTCTATGCAAGCGCGGAGGTAGGTGCATGTGTTGATTGTCGCGCCTTGACGGATTTCCTCGACTTCGGAGAACTTGCTGCGAATCTCGGCTGTTGCGCGCTGGAGCGCCGCAGGGTTGCGGGAAAGGTAGAAGAGGGTCGCTGCCATGGCTGTTGACGTGGTGTCGGCGCCGGCGATGATGCTGATTTGTGTGTCAGTCTTGGCTCATATCTCTGTGCCTCGAAATTGGCCAGGAGTAGTATGAACTTACAGCAAGTTCGACTCGCCCCAGAGCTCTGGCGTCGAGAAGCCCAGTCCAGTCTCCGGGTCACGCGCCTTGAGGAGGTAGTAGAAGAAGTCGCGTCGATCCGTATCTTCGCCAAGCTTCGTCCGCTCCGTCAGCTGCGCCTTGCTGTAGGCCATATACCGCGCGCGTCCAGCCGCAATGGTCGGGAAGAGGAGCTTGTCGAGCTTGAGTTTGTCGACGATGGGCATGGTACCGCACTGTCGTCCGTCAGTTCATGTTCCTTTCAGACCACTCCGTCGACAACGTCTACTCACAAGAAGATGCCTCTTGGTCGCCGCAGCGATCAAGTCCAACGCAAACCGGTTATCCGGCGCCTCGAGCATATGAAACGCTTTTCCAAACGACAAGTCTCCCAAGATATCCATGGCGAGGTAATTACACCAGTCCGTCATATTCTTGGGCGTCGACCACCCCTTTGTCTCAGCGGACGCGCCGCGACCAATCTCGGCGGTGAAGGAGCGCACGTTGCCGATGATGTAGCGCTCCATCTCCTTCATGGCCGAGTCGGAGAAGCCGTGGGCGAGGACGCGGCGCTTACGGGCGTGGACGTCCTTGTCGCGGGCGTTGTGAGTGTTGGGCGCCGGGTGGACGAAGGCGTTGTAGAACTCTGCCTTGCCGACGTTGGAGCGGAAGCCGTAGATTTCCTTGAGAGCCGTGGCGGAGTTGAAGGAAACTGAATTGGGCCCGAAGCGGACGATTTTGCCTTCGAGGGTGTTAGTGATGGTGTCCCCAAGGCTCCTGTCTCTCTTCTTTCCGTCCTGCCAGCCTCTTCTGCTCACTCTGGCAATGTCTTCCCCCGGTTTTCAAAGGGTATGAAGGATGAATGGGGAGGGTGCTGAAGATGGGTAAGTGACGTACCGTATTGCTTGTGAAGCTTGTAGAAGTCGAGATGTCTATCGCCATTCCAGGCGTGATAGAGCTGGTACCCATCCGTGACCTTTGCGATGAACGGTCCTGGATACTTTGCCAGAGGATGGAAGAAGATGCGGTACACGACGATACCAGCGACCTATATCGTTGACTGTCAGATCGGATCCATCCATTCTCTTGCCGACGCAGCTGGGGCTTCGTAGAGCCGCTTCTTGGCGTAAATGGTGACATTGATGAACTTACATAGAGCACGCCTCCCACGGCGGCGAGGCCTAGCCAGGCCCAGAGATGACTTGAATCCATGTTCACTGTTTCCTTTCCTCTCAATTCAACGGTATGGTGATGTCAAGCAGCAGCCGTTTGTCTCTCGCCGTTTTGAGTAACCTCCACACAGCAGTGAAACACTCACGAAGCCGTGAATATAGTTCGATATAGTAGTATGCCAAACACCAAGTTCGGTCCTTTTCCCGATGAAGTCTTTCCAGCTTTCTTTCTTTCTTCACAGCAATTTCACCTCACGTCTCATCCGTGTCTCCCGGCGAGAAGGAGGGGTGCACCTCTCTTCTTATCTGTCTTACACGGCTCCTAACCCTTTCCCGGCCTGCTACCCATCGGCTTTCCACGGTCCAAGACGGGAATGGATGACGGCGCTGGCGGGTGTGCGCTTTTACCCCACGCCGCAAGGACTGGGCGGGCCTCCATGGACACGAAATTGGAGAAATGACAATAGGCGGGACGAGTACGAGGCACTGTGCCAGCGCCAAAATATCAGCTGTAACAAGTGACACAGTCCCCATGCGCAACACGTCTTACCTGCCCTAAGGTGTCTGGCATTGATTACTACCAATACCGGTACCTACTTAGGTGCGCCTGTAAGAAAAGAGGCGGGCAAGGGCGCAGGTCCCTCTTATCACGCTTGCGCCCGCCCAACCTTCCTGCTTCAGGTGGCCTTCGAAAGCGGGAGTTGGAACGCTGCGGCTACTCGCGGGGATGCACAGAGAGAAAGGGAGGTTGAGAGCAGACGGACTTGGATCTCGTTGGTGACGCCGCAATACCTGCTTACCCCAGACTTTGCGTTCCCATTTCTCTCCCCGGCTCGTTCAGCCCGTAGATAGCCATCCTGCCATGGGTTCCCTACGCAGTAGGTCCATACTACCCCAAGATCTCGCATCTGCTATTTACCCACCCGGCAAGCTTCCCCCGCCCCAATCCACGCCCGCCAAAAGCCACACGAATGCAATATATGTGGATGGCATGGCGCTCCCCCGGCAGCAAGGTTTCGCAAGTGTGCATGTGAGCCAACCGGAGACGAGGCGATTACACATTCCATGCGCGGTGAGTAAGGGTCACCCTCATTGCTCAGAGTGCCTCTTGGCCTTTTCTTGTCTCTTTGCCGAGCTCTAGTACCCTTTTTTCCGACATTCGAAACCTTGTCATCATTCCCGAACATCCTCTTTCCCGACGGGCTTCTTCTTTCCCGAGGATTTGGAGAAATTGGAGACACTGGACGAATCATTGGTGAGAGAAATGCATCGGGCTCGGCTTTCGGCGGCCGTCACCGTTGCGGGTCCTGCGGAGAAGACGGGGGAAGAAGGTAAACTTGGATGGCGGGGGAGGAATTCCGCTCCAGGTCCGCGATCTCCTCGTTTGGCAACGGCTTGAGGGCTTGGAGGATTTGACTCGTTGTGGGCTCGTTTTTGAAGAGGTGTGGGGGTTTGGAGTGTTATTGACTGGCAAGACAATAGTCATGGAGATACATAGATAGACACACACATACATACAATAAGTCCTGGGCTTCTCACCCAACTTGGGTAGCAATGCAACACGTTTAGATAAGGCACCCCGTACTTCCACAGCTCTGGATTCATCACAATAGGGTGAGAGGTATATTGGTACTTGTCGCAATCCGTAAGAAGCATGGTGATGACGGCATCTAGGTCGTGGTCTCGATGTGGAAGCTTGCCGTTTTCCTGTTCGACGTTTAAGTTCAGTACACAGTCCATACCAAAGCTACGTCTCTCTCCACCGACTGCCTCCTTTTGGAACATATTCCAGATGTGGTATACCAAGAACAGGTGGAAGTAGGTAGAAGTATTTCTGGCTCATCCGGAAGATCCCCGCTTAATACATCAACTTGGGTGTTTCTCAAGTATCTCAACTACCTACATACTCTATCACCAACAGCCTTGCTATGATGTCTTTAGTGGCATCGTACCTCTTTGAGAAATAGGGGATTCCTGATCATACCGGCGGCAAGACGGAGGATTATCTAACAACCTGCTTACTCGTGTAACGGGCAACAGGAATCATGGGTACCCGCAGTCCAAGGTCCTTTTCTATCACCACGGCAGACTTCCGTCGAGGCCGCACCCCTGGGAATCCAAACACCCACAACTTTCTGTAAACCGAATGGAGATAATCGACTCAGTGCGAAACTAAACTGAGCCGGCCCATCTTCCCGAAGCATCAAATGTGTGCACTAACTGAAAATGGTCCGTATTAGAGGCCAAGACCTATCGTAGCGGACAAATTATTCTTACTCAAAGAGCGACAGGACCTATTGAGCCCCTGAGCAGGCAGATTCGCGATGCTGTGTTGACCTCATATGAAACGAACCAAAATACAGAAG